TCTTCGAAGCACAGAACATGCCGATTGAGCAAAAGTTGACTTGGCTCGGACGGTATGACGTGGAGGTCAGTACGGCGTTCAAGACGAACCAGATGGGCGAGAATGGAAGAGGCGACACTGGAAGAATTCAAGTGCGATGGGAGAAACCAGAGGATGGATGACTCAAGTTGAACGTTGATGGTTGTTGGAAAGGAGACGGGCGCGCAGGCTGCGGTGGTCTACTACGGGACTCGCATGGCAGCTGGTGCCGGAGCTTTACGTATAACATCGAACGATGCTCGATAGATGAAGCTGAAGCGTGGGCTGTCCTTCAGGGACTCCGTATGGCGAGGGACTTTGGTGCCACCAAAGTCGTGGTCGAAAGCGATTCGAAGAAAACAATAGAAAATTTGAGAACCGAGTTTGCTTGGAGAAATTGCAGTTTCAACATCTTGAGATGGTGTGAGCAGGAGGTGGCGCTTCTAAACGAGGTAGTTTTTCACCATGTGTACAGGGAGCAGAATAAGGCAGCTGATGTTTTAGCATCGATGGCACTTAACCACCCAATCGGTTGGCGAGTACACGAAGAGATACCGCCCGAGCTTGAAAGAGATGTCAGTCGGGATCGGCTTGGTGTGTCGTACATGAGAAGACAGTAGGCTTAGTTTGTCTCTGGGTAACCCCCTCCTTCTGATGAAAAAAATAATTAATAAAATATAAAATATAAAATATAATTAAGAAAATTAAATTATAAAATTATATAAATGTGCATTCATAAATATTTAAAAATTTGCTTAAATACATACATATACTTATGTACTATATTATTCATACAAAATTAAAATACTAATTTTTTAAATTTCTAAATTAATTATCTTAATTATAAATCTAGAACATAAGTTATAATTAGGAAAATTATATTATAGAATTAGCTTAAAAACATATTAATAAATAGTATATGCGTATACAATGTATTATACAACCATGCATATAATAAAATACATCATATTAGAATTTAAATTTACTACTACAGAATTTAAAATTTATATATTTTTAAATTTCTAAATATAATTCTCTTAATTATTATTCTTTAGAAATATAATATATATGAAATATAATTAAAAATAAATGAATTTTAATTATGTAAACCTTCTCCAAAATATATCTAAACATGTACATGATTATGGACTATAATAACCCTACAAAATTTTAATTTTATTTGCTATAAAAATAGATGCTTAACCAAATATATGAAGTCTAATTATATTATTATATTATACTTTTTTTTTTTGAAAATTTTCTGCGGTGCTTCATTAGAAAAATGCTGAAATAATGTCTGGTGGGTGAGTATCCCAGTACATAGTATCAGGTTGCTGATAAGCCGTAGTGGCTAAAGCATGAGCTAAATAATTGTCCGATCTAGAAATATAATTAAAAGAACATGAGTGAAAATAAACGGCAATTTGTCTGCAGCTATCAATGGCATAGCCAACGTAAGAGCGAAACGCAGTGGTTGATGATGTAAGGTAGCGTTATAGTGTCAAACAATCCATGTAGATCTCAATATTCTGTTCACCTCGATCCTTTAGCCATGATAAAACTTCCTTACACGCCAAAGCCTCAGCCATAAGTGGTGACGTACAGGCCGGTAGCGGCGCGGTTAGTGCCGAGATATAGGCTCCATCTCCATCTAATAAAACGGCCCCTACAGTTGCATTCCCTGTCTCGTGTAGATATCCCGCATCGACCCTGCATCTTCTCACTGGCGGCACAGAGGATCCGGCGGCGTCGGCAGCACCGCGGCCGGCGGTGGGACTCGCCTGGGCAGCGTGGCGGTTTTCTGTCGGCAGCGTAGCAGTGGCAGTGGCAGCCACGGCTGGGCGGGACTGAGTCCATGCGGTCTTGGCTGCCGCTGCGGCTCTGAGTAGGGACCCCGGGCGTGGTAAAAACGCCTCCCAAACTGCACCATTTCGAGCTTTCTAAATATTGTATAGAATTGATGCTGCATATAACATTCCATCAGAATCTAAAATATTTAGAAGTTCCCCAAACCAAACATGAAAAATATCCGTGACAATATTGGGGATTGTAAGGTTGGATTGATCCCAAATGTTTCTTGCAAAATCACACAAGACTAATGCATGCATTGTATTCTCATGTGATATCCCACACATAGCACAATATGGGTTCACCTCCACCCTCTTTAAAAGCAAGTTCGTAGTTGTAGGCAAAATATCACAAATAGCTCTCCAGAGGAACATTTTCCACTTTGGTGGAATTTTTAGTCTCCATAAAGCTAACCAATTAGTAAAGGGGCCTTGATTATTCTCATAATCTCCCACCAATCGTCTGTACCCGCTTTTCACAGAATATAATCCTCTCGGGTCCCCGTACCAATACCATGCATCATTATAATCCCGGGATACAGGTACTCTCATAATTCTCTCGAAATCCGTAGGTTGAAATAAATCTGCTAAAATTTCATTATCCCATGTACCAGTTTGTTGATCTATTAGCCCCACTACTCTGGCCTCTCGTAACTGTATAGGCATCTCTGTTTGTATCATAGGGTCCTGGTCATCCAGTAACCATGGATGGGTCCATATAGATGTAGTTTCCCCATTCCCAATTCTTCGTCTGACCCCACTACAAATTATGCTCTTTGATGCCATTATACTCCGCCAACAAAAACTGGGATTATTTCCTACCTGCGCATCAAAGAAAGTATCCCTGGGAAAATATCGGCTTTTGTAAACACGAGCTACTAAGGAATCAGGCTTAGTGAGCATTCGCCATGCCTGTTTCCCCAACATAGCTAGATTAAATGCACGTAGGTCCTTAAAACCCAATCCACCATACTTCTTAGGAACACATAGCTTGTCCCAAGCCTTCCAGTGAACTCGGTTGTCCGTCCCAGAACCCCACCAATATCTATTCATCGTTCTTTCTATAGCCGTGCATACTGATATAGGTAGCAAAAAAACACTCATTGAGAAGGTAGGCATAGATTGTGCCACACTTTTCAACAGTATTTCTTTCCCTGCCTGAGACAATAACCTTTTATTCCACGACCCAATTCTTTGGCGTATTTTATCCTCAATATATGCAAAAGCTGCCTTTTTATTCCTACCAACAAACGAAGGTAGACCCAAGTACTTGCCAAAGTTTGGTGCCTGCTCCACCCCCAAAACTTGGGCCACACTTTCCCTATCCACATTACTCGTATTCCTGCTATAACAAATACTCGACTTGTGGTAGTTAACCACCTGTCCCGATAGATCCTCATATACAGTCAGGCATTTCTTTATCTCATTAGCCTCTTCCACATTAGCCTTAAAGAATAAAAGGCTATCGTCCGCAAAAAACAAATGAGAAATCTGAGGGGCACCTCTTGCTACCCTACATCCATGAATTAATCCCGCTCTGTTAGCCTGTTGTAGTAACAACGAGAGTCCCTCTGCACAGATAATAAACAAATATGGGGATAGCGGGTCTCCCTGTCTCAAACCACGCGTGGGTATTATTGGGTCACTCCTTGAGCCATTTATCAGAATACTATAGGAGACTGTGGTCACACATTTCATAATCAAATCAACTCATCTATCATGGAAACCCAATGCCATCATCATATTACGGAGAAAAGGCCACTCCATTCGATCATACGCCTTAGCCATATCCAGCTTAAGTGCACCCCAGCCCCTCAATCCACACTGTTTTCGATTCAGAAAGTGCCCCACTTCTGCAGCTAATAGAATATTATCTGTTATCAATCTATCTGGGATAAAAGCACTCTGTGTCTCAGATATTATTCCTTCCATCAAAGGCTTCATTCTATTAGCCATCATTTTAGCTATTATTCTGTAAATGACATTGCTAAGTGCTATAGGGCGCAAATCAGTTACTAACTCTGGATTACTCTTTTTAGGGATCAACACAATATCTGTCTCATTCAAGCCAGACGGGAGGTCACCTGATTCAAGACAGTTTAGCACAAAACTCGCAACATCCCCTCCTACCACATCCCAGAAATGCTGATAAAAACCCGGATTCATTCCATCCGGTCCCGGTGCTTTATCCGGATACATTGCAAACAATGCATCCTTTACTTCCTCCAGATTAAATGGCCGTAATAGTGAGTCATTCTGCGCCTGTGATACCCTGGGTTCTATCCCCCCAAAAAAATCATCTCCAGTTCCCGGACCCCCAGAGCTGAAAATATTCTTAAAATAGTCCAGAATGATATCTCTCATGGGATCCCCCTCCAACCAATCCCCATTGTCATTCATTAATCTAAGTAAAGTATTCTTTTTCTTTCGGTGAGAGGCATACCTGTGAAAGAATTTGGTATTGGCGTCAGCTTCCTTGAGCCAGTGCTGCTTGGCTCTCTGCCTCCAGTATGCATCCTCCTGGGCCTCAGTGCGACTCAGAAGTTGCTCTATTCGCTGAAACTCGACAAGAGAGGCCGAGTCAGTGCATCCTCTCAAACGTTGTTGATCCCGTTTCAGCTGCACAATCTGTTTCCCATACTTATGGAACCGATCCCCACCCCATCGTGTTAACCGGTTTCCACAGTATTGAACACAACCCTGTAAACCCTGCCCTCTCCCTTCCTGCCACGCCTGCTCCACCACACCCCTACATCCCTCATCATATAACCATGCCATCTCAAACCTAAAACCCCTTCTTCTAACCCCATCCCTCCCTACCTCCTCCTGAACTGTGAAAAAAATGGCTGAATGATCTGACTTCCTGGTTCTCAAATTCATAACCTTTACATGGGGAATTATATTGCGCCACTCGTTCGTTACTAGGACCTTATCAAGTCTCTCCTCAATCCAGTTTGCAGTCCCTTTCCCCTTCTCCCAGGTATATGGGTATCCAATCATTGGCAACTGGGCCAATCCACAATCCTCAATCGTCTCCCCAAAACCTCGAAGAAGGCTATTCGGATGTGGATTTCCCCCTCTCTTCTCATACTGGTATAGCAAATCATTAAAATCCCCCACCACCACCCACGGGAGATTCGATTTTGCCGCCAACATTCTCAACAAATCCCATGATTCAGCACGCCTATTACGGTCCGAATAACCATAGTAACACGTCATTCTCCAGGCCGGATTACCTGTCATAGTTACCTCAATATCAACGTAGTTCCTTGAGTAACTAAGGAGTCTCGCCGTATTATTCTTCTTCCACAATAACGCTAATCCACCACTCAAACCATCATTGTCAACATAAAATAAGCCTTCGAAACCGATCGTAACACGAAGACGCTCAGCATGATCTCGCGCTACCTTAGTTTCTATTAGAAATACAAAGTCGGGTTGTTTTTTGGACACCATGTCCACCACCTCTCGAACTGTCCGTGGATTACCCAAGCCACGGCAGTTCCAACTCAGCGTACTCATTAGCGTCGCCAAACAGTGATGATCACTGAAAAAAACGTAGGAAACCGTCGGAAACCTAGCAAACCCTAGGGGAGGAGAAAACTCTAGCAAACCCTAGAGAGAAAAAAATAGCCACTAGGTCGATTGTTATTATTATATTATACATTTTAACATTTTCTATATTTTCTATTTGGTACATGGGTAAAATAAACCTCATGGTTACACCTTACACCTTTAATAAATTTTGAAATCAAGTTTTAGGAACACACTGAATAATCTCCTAAGGTCATGCTCCACATTCAAAATCAAGAATCGAATCTTTGATATTTAGTTAAAAATGAATAAGTTTCGTTCACTCATCCAAACCTCCAAGTTATAATTTTTTTTTTTGTTTTTTCTTTTTTTTTTTTATATTTGTAATATGTGTTATTTTGTGACCTTTATAATGAGTTATGTATTGTAAAAACTATTTAACTTGATTAATTAATTTATATAAAATATATTTTATAATTTAGTTATGAAAAATATTATAAAAAATAGTTTACTTTTTATGAATTATATATTCAATGTAATCTAAATTTTCTTATTGTATATCACTGTATTCAAGTTATTCTAGAAAAACTTAAAATTAATAGTTAAAAGAAAAAATATTTATAAGTATTATATTAATAAAATATTTATAATTTATAATATATTCTTATTCAAAAATTTTAGTCTATTAATTATGTTTCATATTTTATTAGAAATATTTTCTTTACAATTTTCTTTCGCCATTTATAAAAGATTTTTGGCTCCATCCTTATTTGTAAGTTTTGTTTTATAATTTTTTTTTATTAATAATTAATTTATTAGTTATTATAATAACAACTTGATTGTCTGTAAGCTTATCTGATTTTAAAGTGTTTATTTATTTTTATAAATTATAATTATTTATTTATGAAAACACTTATGAAGATTATTTCACATTTAGAAAAGCACCTAATTTTTTTATAATTATTATTGTAAAAATTGTTAAAAACTTGTAAATCTTTTGACATTTATATTTTTCTCTTTATATGTAATTTAACTTTCAAATATTAAAATATATGTTATTAAACAGGAACATTTCATTTAGATTTTAGAATGAATTGCATAACCATTGCGAGCTGCAACAATCAAATTTATAATTCATTATTATTCCAACTCTCATCAGACAAGAGAAACAGACTGGAACCGAATCCTATACACAACCACAGATTTAAAGTTCAAACATCACAGTGCAAAAATGCAACTGGATGGCATTGCAAGAATATTCATTCAACAATACAACAAGAGTTACATAATATAGCAGTTACACCTTCCCTTCGAGCTTAGACATCTCGGTCCCAGACGAAACGACTTATAGGAGTTGCTGATGAGGAGTTGGCGCTTCTGGCACGGCTGCAGGCACCGGAGGCCCGGGCGTGATTGTGACGTGTAAACCCCTGCGTTGCCCTGCCGGCAGCACAAAAGTAACTTCTGCTGCCTCCTGGTAATTTTTTGTTCGAGTCAAGCAACTAAGTCACAAAAATGCATTATGGGGAAGGCAAGTAACTTCAGTAACCAAATTGAAACCCTAAGTGTCATGATGATTACCAAATTGGTATCAGGTTCATGTGTTGCTGGGAGCCTGTCACGTGAAGGGGCGTGGGGCATATAATATATATACATATATGTGCAATCAAACTATCAGTTCAGGCTTTTAGTTGAGATAGAGCACATGCTTCAATTCCATCATCAGGAGATAAAGGGCAGTTTTGTTGAAACTATACCGTCAATTATTTGTTCAAGGCCCGAAACTATAGGTAGTGTCAATCTTGATGACAACACTAGTTGCACCGAAACTATATATGCTTCATTACCATCGTATTCTCCTATCAAGGCCCAATCTATAGCTAAGAAGTGAGGAACCGCAACATCCATATTCGTGTCACTAATAGTAACAAAGAAACCATATATGAACTAATGATCTATCCTAAGCAACCATAAAAAGGGTAGCTCTGAAGAATTAGGTCTCCATTTTAGTTTGTTAGAAAAACAACACAGAGCAATCAAAATGACCAAATGAATCTTGAAAAGGAATTAAGGTAATAAGGCCATTTTACTGGATAGATCTTGACCCAATGGGGGTCCATTTTTATTGCAAAGGAAAGAAGGAAGCATGGAGCAAAATAATTGAAAGGAGAGCTACCATGGGAAATCAAACCCAAGACCTCAAGCATAACAACACAAGTTCCAAACCACCAAGCTACCATGCATCTTATGTACAAGAAGGTAGGACGCTCTATTTATCCATGTAGAGATCATTGACATCCAAGTAATGGGGAGACACGTGTACGGCCAAGATTAAAGACAAGCTAATGCCGTACATTTGTCAACTTTCTGGAAGGCCCTCTACACTATATAAGGCACCCTTGCCACCTCTTACATCATCATCCCTAAGTTCACTCAATCCCCCCTAGTTTAGTGGCTTGAGGCCCCAACCTTTCTAGCCCACTATTTGGGGCTACAGCGTATATTATTTATTTATTATTTGGACCACCATTTTGGGCTAGTATCTCAGGCTTATATTATTTATTTATTATTTGGACCGTCGTTTTGGGCTATTATCTCGGGCTTTGTACGCATACACTTTGGGCCTAGCACCCCGGGTAATAAAGTTACTACTTTCCAACCCTGTTCTGTACTTCTATACCTGGTTTATGGTGCGCCCGATCCCAACAAAACCATCAATGTGATTATAACACAACAAATATCAAAGACAAGAAAAAGCAACAAGAATGTAGAAAATGCATGTAAAGTTATATGTAAAGGCCTTCCTAAATACTAGGAAACATGAACAGAAGAAGCCAATTGTGGGCTGAAGTCTCTCTAACCTGTCTTTGCCTTCGGCGTTGTAATATGCTAATAGCCCAAGCCACGATGTAGCATGGAAGAAGAAAACCCGCAGCCCGTAGCAGAAAAAGCTGTGAAATACCAACCTCAGAATTAATTCTCCGATATGGGGAAACAAACGAATTGTTACACACATCCATGGACAGGCCCGACTTACAGAGAAAAAGGTAGAAACTTCATCGTCAGCATCCCCATCACCGTTACCAAGGGTCATAGCATGCCTCAGAAGTAGAAGAGCCATTAACTGCAACGAAATAACTTACAAGATTCAGAGGGAATGGAAAGGAAGATCAAATAATCAGAATAAACAATCACTTGAGCAGAAATGTCACAAGTATCTAGCAATAACTACTTCAAAAGAATTCATATTTAGTGCAAATTGCTTACAATTAAAGCAGCTGAGCGACAAAATGCAGCTCCACTCGCACTTGAATCAGCATACTCATCATTATCAGTCTCCAGAAGACGGCGCTCAACCATGGCCAGAAGCCTAGGGTCATTTATGTCAAGTTGAGCTCCAGCCATTGTCCATCGCGGGCTGCAATAGAATCCCAAGCCAATTCAGCTATTAGCACAAAAATTTATAGCAAGAACAATTTAGAGGATTAAAGTTTCCCAGAGACAAAGAATCATTTCTTGGAGCTTTTATTTCGTCACATCCAATGACCCGGGCATCAAAGGTCAAAAGACCAAGAAATTAAAGAAACTCGCCTGATATCAGTGTCAGTATCGTCAGATGGAGGGGGTGGCGGAGCAGTATAGCCCGGTTGGTAAGGCTACACAAACAGGAGAATGTCTATGAAGAAGTGACAATGAAAGCATTTCGAGTATTGATTAATCACTAAAGTGATACTGGAAATTTGGAATACAGAATATATTTCTAGAAGACATAGTGCAGCAATAAACCTGGTGGCAAATCTCACAAGTTATATCCCCTTTCTCATTGCACCATCGCTGGACACATTTCCTGTGCGCAAACTGGCATTTTTGAAATCAGACGAAACGTTAACTGGCATTTTCTAAACTCAAGGCACAAATTGTGCTAGGATCACTCAAGTGGGCTATAATGCACATGGGCCAAACCACACTAAAAGATTGAATTCAACCAATTAGCTAATCTAACACATGGCCTTATAAACTCATATGTTCTCTCTTATTTTATCAATGTGGGACTCTTAAAATCTTCCATTGGAAAAACTAATACCTATTTTACAATGATTTTTCCAAATTTTCAGAAATACATAATACTTTCCCGAATTCCCTATCTGAACAAAAAACAAAAGTACCTTCAAGCTGCCACTGCAAGCGCAAGGAACCTCCAAATTGCTAAGATCATCTTCCTCTTGGCAAATGCGGCATTCAACACTCTGAAGCAGCAGCGGCTTATCTTCACCAGCATCCTCTACTTTCAAATCCTCAATATCAACCTTATGGTCCTTGGGAGAGCAAGAACTACCTCCTGAAGCTCCTGCAGATTCTGACCATTGCAGTGTTTGAACCGATTCAGGGGTAATGAGTCGGTCAACGCACAAAACTAAGTGCTCTCCCATTACTTCTTTATCAAAAAAATCCTGAAAATACCACAAACCACATATATGATATATTCCCATCAATTTCAACAAATTCACTCTCCCATTTACAGATTTTTCCGCATTTTCTTTGTGTTATTGTACCATATAAAAATATGTATTCTACCTCAACTAAAATTTAAACTTTTAGTAAGTTAATTCATATTTATCCTCAACAAAAACAAAATAAAGCACCGGCTAGCGTTATGGAAACAATATGATAAGGATACTGATAAAACCCCCAAAAATAACGAGCAACAATTTCTTCAATTTCATTTTTTCTTTTCCTCTTTTATCTCCATTCTCGGACACCAAACACCATTGAACAAACTCAAGAACAGAAATTTGCAGCTAAAAGTCCAAAAATACTACTTTCAAGAACCAAAAAAGTATTAAAATAACAAAACATAAAAATTGAAGAACAAGAACAAGAAATTGAAATAACTAAAAATCCAAGAAAGTTGAGTGACGGGGAGCTGAATTTACCTGTAGAAACGCGATTGTTGCTGTGAATGAGAAACGAAAGTCGCAGCAAACTCTGCTTTGAAATAGAAGGCGTGATTGAATAATGAATACAGCTAATAGACTACTTTTAACGTTTTTCAATAGTGTGATGATTTCTGGACATCATCGAGAATTATTTAGGATTTTATACCAACATAGGTTGAATGTGGTTTGTTCGAACCTCTCAGGCGGGTTTTACTTTTTTAGCCCCGGTAACGTTATTTTAACGCCAAAATTCAACGGCGTTGTATCAAATGTCGGGGCCCATTTCACGGCGTTTAATCACCGTGGTACCATCCTGGATCAGAGATCACATTGCACTATGAATCTTAATTTATGGATTTTGTATTTTGTGTTATAATTTTTTGTGTCAAGCGTTATGAAATTATGTACATTATGAATATGAATTTTGTATATGTAGTAAATTACTAATTGTATTTTATGTTATGAATTTATGTGTCTTATGTTGTAAAATTTTGTGCCTATGAATACAAATTATGTACTTAAATTTTATTTAAAAAAATAACTAATAAGTAAATATATAACATGTGTATGTGTCTTGTGTTATAAAATTTTATATCTTACAAGTTACAACTTACAATTATGAATTTTGTATCTGATCTTTTCAATCTAACTAGGTCCATAATGTTATGTTATATGTGTTGTGTTGTGATTTTTTTATGTTATGAAATTCTATACTTTACAAGTATTAACTCTGTACCTTGTTCTTTTAGTTCATAATTTATAATGTTACGTGGACTCTAGACCTCTAGTCCATGATATAAATTGTGTCTAGAGATAGTATTTTATGGACACGTGGCAAAATTGCAATCATGGCACGTAGATAACGTGTGATGTTAAAGAGACGATGGCATCCTTGGAAATTGTCATTTAAGTTTTTTTTTTTTTTTTTTTAACTAAGTAAATAAGAAAAAAAAAATCAAATGCACCGATTATCCCAAAAAAAAAAAAAAAAAAAAGCAAAAAGAAATTGCTAATTTTATTTTATTTGTTATATTTCTCCATTTTGCCGTGACGAAAGTAAGTCCAACGCAAGGTGGTCACTACTCACTAAAGTTGGGTTAATTTGTTCATACCTACAAATCAAATCATATTAAATGTCTTGATTGGTGAGAGAATTTACTTGACATGCGACTTAATTACTCCGTGTATATATATATATATATATATATATATATATATATATATATATATATATATATATATAGGCTTCGAATCCGGTGCACCCCCTATTATATATGAGATCATGAGATTCTCCTAATAACCATTGATTCATTATCCATGAATGGTGGAGATTAGAAGATAATATTAAAGTGAATAAGTATATATTGAAAGCAAAAGGATTAAATAGTAATTGTAGATATTTGTTTAATTATGGATAGATTTGAATTGGAATCTTTTGGATTATATTAAGGAGAATTTGAATGGAAAAAGATTTTTAGAATTATTTTACCACATCCATTGAACCTTGAAATTGCGTGAGGAAGGCCGTGAAAACAAAACGCATCGACGGTAGAGTTGGACTGATCCTGGAGGCAGCAGCACAGTTCAAGAAACGAGAATGGCTTCTAGCATCGCCGGTAAGTGCATAACTATGTACCGGTCTGTGCATCATCTTGGGTTCAGTTGTTTAATTAAAATGGAACGACATACAAACAATATAGAGTGGTGCGTGTGTGCAAATGTGTGTATCCGAATTGTTCGAGGGCGTAAGGGCACGGAATGGTAATGGAGGTAGTTGTAGTCTAAACTGTAAATTTTGACGGTGGATAATAATACGAGCATGGGTAGGTGCATACTAGTCTCACGGCGTGTGCGAATGTAAGTGATGGTTGGATTTTTGTTATTTCGTTGTTGTTGCTGTTCGAACTAAATGTCAACTGGAATATTGGGGGGTGGGGGTTTGGTATGGTATGTCCGTGTATTTGTGTCGGCGGGTGCATGTACCTTTTTAGTTGCGTGGGTAAGGGCTGAAGAAAAAACCACATTGATAGTAGAGTGATAGTTATCGTGGCAGCCGCGTCGGAGTTCAAGAACGGGAGGGTCTTGTAACTATTCCGGTTTGTGCATTAGTGTGGTCTGGTCTGTGCAATTGTGCGTTTTTCCGTAAGGAAGGAAACCCCCATGCAGTAATTGATTAAACGAAAAAGTGATTCAACGTAGACCGAATTTGAATGGGGGTGAAGCACACAACTGTGCATATCTGTGGTTTGATTTTACTTTTTGTTAATTCACAATGGAAGCCAAAAACTGGCAGCCAATTAATACAAAGCAAATGTAGTTTGAAATTAATACCAACTGGCAGACATACGCACAAGCTTGGCAAGCTATACACACAAAGCTTGTGAATAAATTGAAATAATAATGGTTGACATTTTCCAAGAATCTTCGCATATTATTCAGGCAACAAAAATCAATGAAATAAACATTGGTAGACGGGCATGTAACTATGAGTAACATGAAATATGGAAACAATAGTGTGCATAGCAAGAGACAACCTAAAAATGTTTGCAAATATGGGAGAGAAATTCAATGTGCATTGATTAACTGAAGGAGAGAAATTTTAAATGCGTGTATTAAATTAAAGGCTTCAAGGATAGCTCTCTTTTGCAAAGCATTAAATCGCTTAATGGGATTCACCATGTGTTTCGGAGCCGTCCGAATCTTAAGGGGGGAAATAATGCATCGTTGATTGCGTCAACATCATCATCCGAGTCCTCAGAATCCGACACATGTTGGTCGGGGCAAGGGTGGTACAACATCTTCACCACCTGCCGACTCAACAACAACGTCACCTGGTACCTACAACCATTAACAGAAATAACAAAAAAAGAACACAACACAATAAATAAAAACCCGAGAATAGTTAAAACCTAATCACAAACCCTAGACCCATGACACACGCAAATAATCCGTAATCAAAACAACAATACAGCTAACAAATCCAAGCATAATAACATTACAACCCCAACTCCGAAATAACAAAGAAGGTAAAAACCACCGACACACGCTTTCCCACCCAAAATAATAGAACAAAAATGAAAAACACCATAACACAACGAATTCAAATTCAAAGACAACATCAACAATTACGACATCCCTATGCACAAAGTATACAGCCATGCCGGACACTCCTAACTATAGACAACATAGCAGCCCCATGAAGATGCCAATCATAATTCCTACGCACATACTCTAAATCCATGACGCACACACATAAACTTTAAGCATCACATCAAACCATCCAAAAAATCCAATCACAATAACTTACTACCCCATCCCCGAAACAAAAAAAATGGAAACAAACACCCACATACGGTTTTCGACCTAAAATAATATAACGAAAAAGAATCACACCGCAACACATAGAACTCAATTACAGGACACCATGTAACAAATTAAAAAACCCGACGCACGGACTATAAACCTGTTACGCCCACACCTAAATCTGTCACCAAACCTACCCCGATACACGAGCCAAATATAATGTCAATGCACATACTATAACCCCATGACGCACATGCCTAAACATGGACAATTAACATACCAGATTGAGAAAACAACGCCACACGAATAAAATATTTCGAACAGAAAAAAACAGCCCACTAAAAAACCAAAAAAAAACCACCCTCCCAATACCTGTAATACTTCCGATTTTCTAAGTTGAGATTCTTTGCATCATCTCAATCAAGGAACAAAACAAATGTGCATAACAAATATTAGCTAGTCACAGAGAAAAACAGAAAATGAAACCCAACAATCAAAATTTACTTGAAATCCAAAGCTCGAGAGAAAGAAAACAATCATCACAAACAAATAAGCACTTGAGTAAAGAAAAATCAAAGAGCAGAATTCAAGCTCCATTCAACAATTAAGGATACAGTATCCATAGCTATTGTACTCTGTACAAAAACTCAACTCTAAGCCTATACACAAATGTAATTCTTATTTGAGGGAATTTCATTGATAAGTGAGAAAGGAAATTATACATGGACTCACCATTGATATTTTGTCAATGACATCAATTGACAAAGAAACTCATCTTATGAACACAAAATTCAGGCACTACCCTATCAACACTCAATGAGGTACAAATCGGCCACCCCCACCCCGGCCGAACTCACCAACCACAACCCCCCAGTAAAAACCCAACCCCGGCTGACGACAACACAGCCCAAAAACACACATGCAATATCCGCAAAAAAAAAAAAAAAAAGGAATTGCGAACCAGAGCACATCCCGATCACACCGAAATCACTAACCCGAAACCCCACAGCCCCCACAGACACTGAAACACTATAGGAAAATTTAAAAAAATAAATAAATAAATAAATAAACCTATAAAAGAACTAAACCGCCGACAATTCCAACCCTACCGCCCCACCACCGCCGAAAACACCATCCACAAACCCACCCCGCAAAACCACACCCGGCACCGGAGAAAACAAACCCAAACCGCACATGCAAAACCAGAAACCTACAATACTTAAAACTAAGAAAACAAAAATCAAAGAACAATAATCGGACGACGGGATACCTGGTGTAGAAGTGGAAGAGCTGCCTCTCAGTCTTTTAGACGCCCTAGAGCTCGAACCCGTCATAAGAAATGCAAAGAGAGGCCGCCGTAACCCCTACTACAGGACAGACAACACAAAACTCCTGACCAGAAGGCGAGGCTAGACGGATAGCAGAACTCCCTCTCGGCGAACGAAATGGCGATGTGGTATGTGAATCGACGTGAATGGTGAAACGGGAAAAAGATTCCTAAAAACACTAAACATATACCAACAAATCCGCAATCAACAATATTAACCCAATTTAAACAACGTTAAAAATACAATTGTGCCCCTAACCCTCTTAAACGCACGCGATTTATAAAATAAAAAAGGCTAATCCGACACGTTAATAAAATCTAAATAGACGGTGAAGATTAGTGCTCACGAGCTCACCTAATTTGGGGGTTGCACCGGATTAAAAAAAAAAAATATATATATATATATATATATATATATATATATATATATATATATATATATATATATAGGTCCGGTCCTATCATTTCATAGGCCCTGGGCGAGCAACAAAAATGGACCTTATATTAAATTAATATATATTTTTATAATTAAAAT